GTTTCAGAAAAAACATTTTACAGCTCCTGAACTATCCCCACCCCCAGCCCCCTCTGGATATATCCCTACAATAACCAAAAGTCATGCTGAATTCAAAAGAGGTGTTTAAAAAATGGTCTTTAAAAAGAAGTCATTACCCTTGGTTACATCAAGTTTTAGAAATTTACTTGTTTATCAGCTGTCCTAACAAAAAATGAGTGGGGTTTTGCTTTTATTTTTGTTTTTAAAGGTGGATGTTCTGCCAGAGAGAGAGAGGGAGGGAGGGAGGGAGGGAGGGAGGGAGACTAACGAACTCTGTTTAGAGCTATTATCTTTGTAGTGGATTCTGTTTTGGCATTCCACACTGTGGATTTCTTTTCTTAAGTATCTTTGATGATTAGGCAATAGATTTAACGAGGATCTAAATAGCCTGACTAGTACTCAGTATAGCAGCCATGGAGGCCTTGTAAAAAATATTCAGACGCCAGGAAGTGTCTACACCTATAAAAATCAGAATTGTGCAAGACATGGTTTTCCCTGTGATACTCTAAGGAGGCAAACCTTGGACTTTGAAGAGGCTGGACAGAAAGAATTGACACATCTGACCTTTGTTGTTGGAGAAAATTCCTGAAAATACCATGGACAACCAGAAAAATCAAACAAATGGGTCATCAAAAATAAATAAGCCAGAGTTCTCACTCAAGGCACAAATGACCAGGCTCAAATTATCCTACTTCAGCCACATCATGTAAAGACTCAGCTCTTTGGAAAAGGCTCTAATGCTGAGAAAGGTGGAAGGAAAGAGAAGAAGAGGAGGACCAGCAGCAAGGGGGAAGGACTCAGTAACCGCAGTGATAAGTGCACTGTTGGAGGATCTGAAGGACCAGGTTAAGAACAGAATGTCATGGAGAAAATGTGTGACTGCTAAAAGTTGACCCTGATGGCACATAATCTGGAGCCACCATCTGACAAGAAAGAAAAAGAAAGAGAAAGAAAGAAAGAAAGAAAGAAAGAAAGAAAGAAAGAAAGAAAGAAAGAAAGAAAGAAA